CTGGGGATTCGAACCCCAGGATTCGAACACCTTAGGTGTATGTGGCTGGCGCCTTAGCCGCTTGAGCCACAGGAGCCGAGCCTGACAGAGTCTCATTTAATCAGTAGAGTACTGTGGCATCACACAGCTCACAGCAACCTCCAACTCCTGGGCTCATGCGATTCTCTTGCCTCAGCCTCCTGAGTAGCTGGGACTACAGGCGCCGGCCACAACGCCTGGCTATTTCTTTGTTGCAATTTGGCTGGGGCAGGGTTTGAACCTGCCACCCTCCGTATATGGGGCTGGCGCCCTACTTACTGAGCCACCAGTGCTGCCTGCACGTTTTAATTCTTTATTAAATTAAAAAGCATTTTTGAAATATGGCAAATATTAAGGACATGATCCAAAAGAAAAACAACAAAAGGTTGTATAAGAAAAGAGCGCCAAATGAGCTTCCCTGAGACTGCAGTCTACTTACAGTGCTACACCACGTGTAAGAGTGGCACTCTATTCAGGCCTTGTCCACACAGTATTATTAAACTTTTTTTTTTTTTGGAGACAGGGCCTCATTTTGTTGTCTGGGCTAGAGTGCAGTGGCATAATCATAGCTCACAGCAACCTCAAAATCCTGGGCTCAAACAATTCTGCCTCAGTCTCCTGAATAGCTGGGACTATAAGCACTTCATGCCTGGCTAAAAAATTTTTTGCCAGGATGTTACCTCAAAAATAGCAGCTCAGTATAGTTATAAGTTATATTTCTATTACAGTGAGGTTTGGTATGTTGTCATAAAAGGACAATTTGTATTTCCTTTTTGTGAGATGTCTATATACCCTGTCTGTTTTATTTTGAGGTTGGGTGGGAGAGAGTGGGTTTCATCTACTTAAGGATTCTTAGAGCTCTCTGCATTTTTAGAAAAAATTAGTTCTAAATATGAAAAACACAGTGTGTCACCTTATTGGAAATACTAAATACCTGTTGAACACAACATGAGGAGCAGTGCTGATGTATACAGTGTGTTCTATAGGAACGTGTGCAAACTCAGGGGCACGTGAATCCAAAAGGACAAAGAGTTGGGTCCATAATTTATCATTAAAGCCATGGGAAATTTAAATACTCCTCAACATTGCATCTTCAGATTGTGCAATTTAGTAAGCATTTTAAGATACCTTTGTAATTGTGCCATTTTCCTTTTTTCCTAATAACTTGTTTTCTCAATGCCTTGTCATTTCCAAAAAGTGAATTCTAATTTATAAAATTATTACACAGCTAAACATAAAAGATATGAAATCAACTTAAAATAAGTCACAGTACATTGTTTCAGAAACTGGGCTGCCACTTTTTAAGTTAAAGAGCTAATAAAGTAAGTCAGGGGTTGCCAAAAGTCGGATAGTTAAGTAACGTAGGCTTTGCGTACCACATACAATCTTAGCCTCATATTATTTATTTATTTTTTACAACCTTTAAACACCTAAAATGTGCCGGGTGCAGTTGCTCATGCCTCTAAGCCTAGCAATTCAGGAGGCTGAGGTGGAAAGATTGCTTGAGGCCAGGAGTTAAAGGCTAAAGGAAGCTATTATCAAGCCACTGCACTCAAGCCTGGGCAACAAGAGACTCCTATCTCTTAAGAAAAAGAAAAGAAAACCGAAACATCATTGTTAGATCATGGTCTATATATTTGCTGACCCCTTATAAGTAATGTGCCAAAATTAGAATCCTTTCTGTCTAGTTTATCCACATACCACCTACTTGTACATAATCGATTCCAGGACTTTCATTTGTTGCTGGCCCAATTGCCCCTTCAGCACATAATCTTTCACCCAGACAAAACTTTTTCCAGCCTTCTTCATCTTCAGATTTTGGCTGAAAGAGAAAAAAATGAATTTATTTCTATGTATTTGTTTTTATCTTGAACAAAAAAAGAACTAAACTCAAGGATAACGTACCAGTTATAGGCAGAATTTTGTGTCCCCCAAATTCATACCTTAAAGCCCTAACCTCTAGTACCTCAGGATGTGACTGTATTTGGAGATAAGGTTTAACAAGGTGATTACAGTAAAATGAGGCCAGTAGAGTGAGCCCTAATCCAATCTGGCTGGTGTCCTTATAAAAGGAAATTTAAATATATAGACACAAGGGATTTCCATACACTGCAGACATACCAAGTAAGCATGCAGGGAGAAGGTGGCCAGCTACAAGCCCAGGAGAAAAGACTCAGAAGAAACCAACCCTGCTGACATCTGGACTTACAACCTCAAGACTGTAAGAAAAATAAATTTCATTTAAGACACCTAGTATTTTACAGCAGCCCTGCCAAATATAGTGCCTGAGTAGTTTGGACCCCACTTTATTGGCCACTGACAAGCCAGGGAGCATTTAAAAGAGGGTGATAAAAATGGAAATTAGTATTACAAAAAATGAACTAAGGAAATCATTTCCACTCATATCAGGAACGAGACAAGGTTACCCACTGTCTCCATTGCTCTTTAACATTGTAATGGAAGTTTCAGTCATTGCAATCAGGGAAGGAAAAGTGATTAAAGGTATCCATATAGGGTCAGAAGAGATTAATCTTTCACTCTTCACAGATGATATGATTCTATATCTGGAAGATACCAGGGATTCTACTACTAAACTCTTAGAAGTAATCAAGGAATACAGCCGCGTCTCAGGTTACAAAATCAACACTCATAAATCAGTAGCCTTCATATACACCAACAGCAGCCAAGCTGAAAAAACAGTCAAGGACTCTATCCCGTTCACAGTGGTGCCAAAGAAGATGAAATATTTGGGAGTTTACCTAACAAAGGACGCGAAAGATCTCTGTAAAGAGAACTATGAAACTCTAAGAAAAGAAACAGCTGGAAATGTTAACAAATGGAAAAACATACTATGCTCATGGCTGGGAAGAATCAACATTGTTAAAATGTCAATACTACCGAAAGCAATATATAATTTTAATGCAATCCCCATTAAAGCTCCACTGTCATATTTTAAAGATCTAGAAAAAATAATACTTCATTTTATATGGAATCAGAAAAAACCTC